TCCTCTCGTTACAAGAAACTTTAAATATTTGTCGATGCACTTTTCAAAGATGCCTCACTTTTCTAAGCTTGCATCAAATACCATTTTTTCTAAGTTTGATGAAGATAGAAAGTCATTCGTTTTACTGTATTGAGAGCGCCGTTCCTTGTTGACCAGCATTAGATTTCTTTCTCTCAGTATTCCGTCCCTCTTCCGTTCGTCAGTCCGTCTGTGATAGATTTCGTATCCACTCGGTAACTCGCCACATACGTGTTGGATTAAATTTCAGTATTAGTGTGAGAGTAAATTATGGCAGGTCTTATTGAGCAGTGCTAGACGTGTTGAGTTTAGGACTTTAGATAATTAATCAAGGTTGTCTTATTTTTCAGGGCGGGAGACTCAATTGTTTCTCTTACTTGGACAACACAACATAATGTGTATCGTTTCTCACTCTTGATTTATTTTTCGTTTTTGTATTTATTTATGGTTATTATTTTTATTATTTTTTTTTATTTGTATTAATTTGCTATTAATTTTATTAATTGTTGTAATTATAATAATAATATATTATTATAATTATTATTATTATTATTATTATTATTATTATTATTATTGTTATTGTTATTGTTATTATTATTATTACTATTTATTATTTATTATTATAGTAGTAGAAACGCCGCCCTCCGGGCGGCTCTTTCGCTAGGCCACGGTAGGACGCCACCCTTTTGGAGGCTCCACATTGTCTCACTGTAGTGCAGTAGGGTAGACCACATTTTTGGTTTTGGCATTAGCAGCAAGTATGTACAGATTTTTGCCAGTTCCCACTCTGGAGCATCCAACATAGAACTGTCCATGAGAGAAGCAAGGAAACACCAGGTTTAGGCCAACCATCTTCAGGGACTGTCCCTGGCTTTTGTAGATGGTCATGGCAAAGCTCACTTTAACCGGGAACTGAAGTCGCTTGAACTCAAATGGCAGGTCTGTGGTGATGAGAGGTATCCTTGGTATAAACACGTCCTCTCCTTTAGCTTTTCCTGTCAGTATTGTAGCTTCCAGTACATGTGGCATCATGTTCTTCACCACCAGTCTTGTGCCATTGCAGAGCCTTGGTGGTTCAAGATTTCTTAAGAGCATTATAGGAGTTCCAATCTTGAGAGTGAGGTGGTGAGGAGGCATTCCAGCGGGCTCCAAAGAATTAAGGAATTCTGCAGGGTACTAGACTGCTTGGTCCTGGTCCTTGGTCCTTACTGTATCAACAGACTTGAATGAGGTCTCACTACCTGGAAGCTGTCTGAGTAGAGTCATGTTGATTTCAGCCACTGTTTCATTCTTTGGTGCCAGAATTGCGCGTTCACGCAGCCGCTTGTGATCCTTGTAGTAGTGGATAATGTTTGGGTAGACCATGTTAGTGAGCTCAGTTGAGGACTTTACAACATTTCCACATCCTTGAGGAATGATTATTTGTCCTTTTGAATCAACAGGGAAAGTTCCATTCCCACTCTGTAGTAAAAGGTTTGCAAACCGTCCAGCATCCTGATCTCCTTGTAGATGTACTCTCATGTTTGAGGATAGGGTGAGTGTCTGAACACTTCTCCAAAGGTATGATGCCTTGAGGCACGCATTCAGTTCATCAGCTGGAGTGCTTCGAGGAATGACAGGTAGGGTCTGGCGAAAGTCTCCAGCAATGACCATTGTAATGCCACCCATGAGCTGGTCATTTTCTCGTATGTCTTGCAAGGTCGTGTCCAATGCTTCAAACGCTAACTTGTGAGACATAGTGCATTCATCCCAGACTATGAGGCTGCAGTTTTCTAAGAGTTTTGCCTTTGCCGATCCTTTTTTGATGTTGCACACTGGATTCTCATTATGAGCGAGATTGAGAGGCTCCTACGTTTACTGGTTATATTTCCTATGTTCATCGTGTCAGGATTGGTCCCATCAGCTACGTCCGCTCCTCCATACCACATCGACTTCTTCGCTACTCTGAGGATGACAATATGACCTTCCAGCTTCTTTAGATAGCAGTGGGTGATGGCAAGATCCGTCTATGCAACGTCTACTCTGACCCTGAGCTTGGGGACCTCTCTTCTAATCCCAACCAAAATGGGATTCTTCTTCTTGAGTACATCCGCCGTCATCAGCTATCTCGTTAGGATACCGGTAGTGCCACCCACTCTCGTGGAAGTACCCTTGATCACATTTTTACTTCTGGACTAGTGGCATCTCTACCTTCTTCTCCAACCACGTCGCCCTCAGACTCCATTACTCGCTCACAGCTGGACTTCGCCCTATCCATATTCGTACCCATATTACCATCCCTCCGAAGTACTGTCCTACGTACATTCCATATATGTCTAACCTCCCCACATTCGATTAAAAGTCGCCGGAGAAGTTATACTCTTCCCTGGTGAACTCCACACATAACTTCCAGTCACTACGTCTCTCGGCCACACATCAAACGTCGCTCTGATGTACTGCGTACATCATTGTCATTCCTAAAAACCCATTTTAATTCATATTACGCTACATAACATTCAAATCCACCGCGCTTGTAGAATCTCAGGAGAGACGTGTTTTTCCCATCTGTTTTACCTTCAGGATCACTCCCAGTAAGTCCCGCCTTCGAACACAGTTGTCACTACGTTTATTCCACTCTCTACTGGCAAACGCAACCTTGAATTAGTCTGTGTAAATCAACTTTAGTAATTCACCAGACCTTTGTCAACTGAGGGTCATCCTTGAATGAGTAACAGTTTGATTGTTTGTAATTTCTGTCATTGCGTGAGTAGCGATCGCTGGCAACTCAGGGGTATATAAACCAGTGCGAGGCGGGAGGAATAAATCTCCCGTATTACCTTTCACCTTCGTTCCCAGGTATGTTCTGTGTTTATGAGCATTCAGTTTGTTTCAGTCTATTGTAGTGAATATCAGTGTTCATGCTTTAACAGTGGAATTGTCATTCACAAAGTGTAAGAAGTAATATAACGTAAATTATTATCTGACGTGGCGAGACTGAAGATTTGTTTGTGACCCACCATGCTTCCCCCAAAAACCTCCCGTATAATCTTTCGCCTGCGTTCCCAGATCGAGGGGGGGGGGGGGGCTTAATTGAAACCCACCGGTCGCTCGGAGCTGGTAGATACCCAGCAGTGGTCAATATAGGAGTGATGGCGCTGATTCGGCATGATTAATCGGCTCTACTCTACCTCGTGGGCCGAGGACCCCAGACCCACCTCGTGTCGGAGTGTTTCCGACCACAACAGCAGTTGTTAGAGGCGCCAGTGCTATACCCTGGGACAGGCCTTGGAGATATGGTCCACAGTGTGGTCATATGTGTTTGTTAATAATTACCCCATGTTGGGTAGTGGACCCATGTCGGTGTTTGTATCAGTATTAGTGTATTGGGAGTAAGGACAAGGAACTGGTCCTGCGATGTAATGTAAGGTGACACCAGTTATTGTGTGCACGGTAAGAGTGTAATGTCTGAGTAATTGCTGTTGAGTAAATAGGAATATAAGGAAACAAGTACATAAGAAATACAGAGTCTACAATAGGCCCAGGAGTTGAGCCTGGTAGTTATATGTTAATAACATCTATGTTCCCCTTTGATTTTATATTAATAAACTTGTTCTTTGAGAATTTTCGGAGTATTCATTTCTCCCACAGTAGTTACCTTTATTTCCGTCCAAGTGACCCTGATATCAGAATTACACTACCCATGTGCCTAGACCATCGACATGCTACCAAGAAGAACTGAGGTTAGGTAGTACCAAAAATGAACTGAAGTGAGTAGAAGGAACATTTGAAAGAACTAAGACATGTTATGGTTTCACCCTTCTTTCCCCTTATCGATCTGGTCAATGAAAAACCTAACCCAATGCCTAGTCCACTCTGCACGCAACCTAACGAGCTACATGCTCGTTAGTATTTACCCTTAGTATTAGTGACCCCCAGTCTGGCAGTATACCGAAGCCTAAGCTTGGACCCTTGAAGAACGTATCCTCCAGGCGGAAGAGAAGGCGGTGGAGGATGGTATCTCATTTCAAGGCGAACTGACCCTTGACCGTCTCCACTAGTACCAGTCGTCCAGAGATGATCTAATTACCCTCCAACAATGTGAATCCTGGCCTAATCTCACAGACAGCATTAACCATGAGACTTGCGTGGGGGCCATGTGGCACCTCATCAACTAGGTGGTCAAGAAAAAGTCCTGTATAGAAAGTTTTTTCCTGGTTGAGAAGAGACGCCCGTCCCCTTCTCAAGAGTTATATGCGATTGGCTGTTGCAAATCTGTCCGATTTCCTCCTGAAGTAATGATGAATTTCTAAATTAGTTTATTCATAATCGTTGGGATGACCGTTTCTGACGAGAAATATATTTAGCTAAATTATATACAGATACATACCTTCACTATTTTAAACATGAGCACGTAGGAAGTTTATCAGAAATCTTATACATGAATTAACTGTTAAACTCTGGTAGTAATTTCACGCTGTATACCCAGCAGTAATTAGGAACCTGGATGTTAATCGATTGCGGATCGTGTCCCGGGGTAATAGTTAGCCAGTGCAGTTGGCAAGTTGTCCGGGCTTCTCGGACTATTCCTTGACACTAGGTCATACAACTCGTTAACTTAGAATGTGGTTGTTGTGTTGGCGACAGCTTCTACAGCTTAAACAAATTCACGCCTAGGTGGCCCGAGGGCCGGCCATCCTCGTCACAGATGGGCATCCAATATTTTATTAGTACTCCGTATTAACAATTATAGATGTGACACGTAACATTAGGTGAAATATAATGTAATTTTTTCTTTGTAAGACTTGTCTAGAAACATTTAAGAGGCAATTGAAATAATCAGACGAAAGAAATTACAGTGAAAGCAGAGCAACATCGTTAGGACGTTATACGAGTGTTTGGTGGCCAGGTGGTCAGCGGTACCTCTGCTTATTTACAAATTGAAAATTGTTTGATTTTGATGCCATTGTTATATAAATACGGAGGACCATATCGTTAAAGGAAACTTTTCCTTGGAGACATTTTATTTTAGAAATGCACATTATAGCCGTGAAAGATGATTCAAGTATTCCATATTGATGTACACACTGATTCTACATATTCCAAGAGCAGTTTTATATCTCACATGCTGAAATCACAAGTATTACTGTCACTCACAATCGATAATACAATTGGCGCCTGCTATACACTCATAGAGTTTTCTGTCGAACACCTCGCCGTGTGGGCAGGTGAAGCTGACAACATGTGGAGGATTACACTGGTAGAATTTATTACAGTCATAGGGGTCCGGTACTTTGGTGTCAGGTAATGTACAGTGAGGCTTGCAGATATCGCAGTACTCGTAGCACACAGTGTCGTCTTGAGAACATTTCCCTGTTCGGAAATCGAAGTACTCAGCACTATAGGGACATGTCTGCTTCAGAGAGATCTCGTTCTCGAGACAGACGTAATAGATGTTGCAGTCTTCGGGGTCGGGTACTACGATGCCTGACTCTTTGCAGCTGATCGCGCAAGGGTTGCAGAGATTGTCGCAGAATGAGTCATCGGCGCTGTCTATGGGTTCGCAGTTCCCATGTTCGGGGTTGAAGTAGTCTTTGTCCCCACACGGTACGGGTTCCGTCGATGGTATTACCTCACCTGCAGCAAATGATACCAAGTCAAAATATTAAAGTTAAATTTATATTGATGTGCCTCTTCCTTATTGTTAAGTATACTAAAGTTCAACTTCTGAGATCAGTCACTGTAACTCTTTATATGAAGGTCTTTTATCATCAGTATCTTACAGCTGTAAATGTATTATAATTTTTCTATTAAAAGTGTTTTTTTTTACTCACCACCAACATCGACGCACTCGTAGTAGTTGGTACAATCGGATGGATCTCTCACACTGTCTCCTGAGTTGTGCTTTGAGCAGTCAGGAGCGCACACCTGTGCTCTCACTCCCCCCTGTAGCACATGGAGGAAATTCATTCACTTAAACTATTGATGAAATCACACGGGAAAAGGGAAACAACGGAGCACCACCTTTGAAGATGTCTTGAATAAAGACGAATGCTAAGGTGCTCCGTTGTTTCTCTTTTCCCGTGTGATTTTATCAAGATTTATCTTATCCACGTTTTCATTGTGGATCTACATGAAATATATATATATATATATATATATATATATATATATATATATATATATATATATATATATATATATATATATATATATATATGTAACCGGTCGGAATTTACTGGACTTTATTTTCTCACTTGACTTTATTTTCTCACTTGACTTGGGGTTTATTAAAGATTAATAGATGGTAATGGCAGTGGAAGCGCCCCTTTGAGAAAAATCCCGAACCAGCACAAGAACACTCTGCTTTCAGCCTTAAGGTACCTTCTGTTGTGATTAAATTTGTCATGCGAACCACGCTTGACCATGGGTCCGCTCTCTCTTGATTCATAACATCGCCGGTGGAATCTATTGGTGAGGCCAGGAACGGTTGGCGGGGACTGCCTGGCCTTGACCATTTCCCGACCGCCAGTTCCGATTGTTATTTCCAACTCGATACTGGCCATTGGCCACGTATCCCCTTGGGACACTCTCTCCTGGTCCGGACCTGTTCGTGCAATTGAAACTGAGGTGGCCCTCTTGTCCACACGCATAGCACATCGGGAGAATCGAGCCTCCAGCCTGCGGCTCGTTCTCTCTTCCTTTAGTCAGCGGTACCTTCCTCAAAGCCTCTCGTTTTTGTTCCGCCTCTCTCAGCCCCGTGATCCACTCGTCTAGACTACGGTGAGGATACTTCTGGATCTCCTCCAATAACCACATACGGCTTTGTTCCTCCTTGAGCCCCCGAGTGATTGCATCTCCCAACAGGGCCTTATCATATTTATGACCATGGTGGTTCAACTCATCGTTTAAATCGAGCATAGCATCATAATATTCAAGAAGCGTTTCGTTGCTCCGTTGTTTCCGATTCATCACCTTCTGAATGGCGTCGTACGTGGCCGTCTGCCCGCCGTATTGCTGCTTCAAATAACAAGTTAATTCGTCTACGGTTTCCCAGTCTCTGCGTGCATTGTATACGCGATCTGCCGCAGGCCCCGCAAGATGCCTTATTATGAATTGGATTCGACTGACTTCGTCTCCGTCTAGCAGCTTGAGGGTTCGGTCAACCTCTCTTAACCACTTTCCTACCTCTACTCCTGGCCTACCGTCGAACTTAGACATGGTCAACCCGGCCCCGAGACTAGTTCCCTCTCTACTATTGTGTCTCCTCATCTCCCACATTGTCTCATCGTGCTGTATTTGATACTGTGTCTTTACCCTATCTAGTGCATCCCCCAACAGAACTAGGTGTTGTTGATGTTCCTTCTCTAACTGTTGCAATTGTGTGTGGTACTCCCCCCTTAACTGTTGCACATATACTCCATACTCCCCCCTGATTTGGTTCGCCCATGCCTGACATTCCCCATTGATCTTCCCTTCTAACTGTTCCACTCGTTCCTGGTACTCTCCCCGGATTTTCCCCTCTAGCTTCCCAATACGCTCCACGAACTCTTCTCTCAACTGTACCAACCCCGGGCTGTCTCTCCTTTTCTCCGAGTAACCCCCCACCGTCAACCACAACAAACCCATTCCCATGGCGAGCATGAGTAGAGTTGGGGTCACACTCTCTACCGTTTCCATCCACTCCATGATTACTCTCATTATCCCAACCACAGAACTATCAGTCACGAAATAAAAATAACTACGCTCTGCTACCATTATATATATATAACTTATATATATATATATATATATATATATATATATATATATATATATATATATATATATATATATATATATACAAGGTCTGTACAAGGTCTGATTGGCTCACTCCCTTCCGCTTTATGGATGTACCGGGGGTAAAGTGAAGCTAGCTGAGTGATACAGGGTCGCACACTGAGACCATGAGTCTAGGGGATACCTAGAGGAACATTTTATCTCCCTTATTACGGGTGTATGTTGAGTTGGGTGGAGCATGGTTCACGGGTATTGGTGGACCCAGTAACAAACCAATAATAGTGACAATATATTTGGGTGTAGTTAATACCATTTCTCAGTTACTGATATTATCTTGACGTGTGTAGTTTAATATTTCTTAAACAATTTTGATAGTATTGTTTTTTGAATGTTTGTGTCACTAAGTGGAACCAGAGTGATACTGTGATTTGATTCTTTTAATGCATCTAATTTTTCTTCATAATTCCGATCTCAGGTATAACCTTTGTTCCCCAGAGTAGTGGTTAAGTTAGGTTAGGAAGTGTGCATCTGTTGGTGTAACATAATTATATTGAGTGCCCTTTAGGCCTATTCATGGTGGAATTAATAATTTCTTATTTTTATACCACTTCCGCAGTGGTGGATATTATTTTGTTGAAAGCCCTTAAGGCCTGTTTCATGTGTGCAAGCAACATTTCTTAATACTTCAAATTTATTGTTGCCTGAGTTTCTAATAATTTCTATATCATGTATAACTTTTATTCCCCAGAGTAGTGTTTTAAGTTCAAGTTAAGAGGTGCGCATATTGGTGTACCATTATTTGATTGTGTTTGTAGTGTTGGAGGGAATATAAGTGTCTAAATTTTACAGTGTGTCTCATTCATCCCAGTCACAGACGCTATCCTTCCACGGGTCACGGACAATTCATTTTGTTTAGTAGATTTAAGTGTTCTTGTGCTGGTTCGGGATTTTTCTCAAAGGGGCGCTTCCACTGCCATTACCATCTATTAATCTTTAATAAACCCCAAGTCAAGTGAGAAAATAAAGTCCAGTAAATTCCGACCGGTTACATATACAGTATATGTAGTTAAAGGGGTCCGGTGTTAGGTAATGTAGAGTGAGGCACGCGGATGTCACAGGACTCGTAGTACAAAGTCTCGTCTTGAGGGACATGTCTGCTTCAGAGAGATATCCTTCTCGAGACAGATGTAATAGATGGTGAATTATTATGCTATAACTATTAATATAGCAATTTGTTAATACCTTTCCCCTATTCAAAACATTTTATGGTCCCAAGTTTTACTTAAGAAAACTGTAATTCATTATAAAGAGATATACCGCGCGTACGTACCAAGAGGGCGAGGATGAGAGTGATGGGAAGTGTTGATCTCATTCTCTGCTGTAGTTGTTGCTGACTGGCAGCTCTGATACCTGCGACTAATATATATATATATATATATATGACAGATGACGCATGCGCAATTGACTCTTCTTTTCCAACAACTGTCAGTCATTTTTTTTCTTTTTCACGGGAAATAGCCCACCCGGGCACAGGTTATCGACCCACAACGAAGCCTGGGAAGGTGAAAAAATAAGAATAAAAATAAATAAAAAATTGGAAGAGAAAAATACTATTAATTACGAAGACGCCGGAAAACCAGCTTTTGAAATGAGACAGATTGTAAGAGTATGGAAACTCAGAAGGTAGAACATTCCACAGTTTGGCTGTGTGAGGAAAGAAAGATGAACTAAAACGGGTTATTCCAGTGTGATCACAACCACACATAAACGGTGGGCACAGCGGCACACAGGATGCCAAATCCACCGAACTCTGCCTATTAAAGTACCTATAAAAGAGAGAGAGTGAAGCAACATTGCGGCGAAGAGAAAGGGAAGAGAGATTATCGACTAAAGGAGGAGAGTTAATAAGACCAGATTCCTAGGACAGAAGATGAACTACCCCAGATATGAGAGCAGTACTCCAAGTACTCCAACTACTTAGGAGTGAAGTAGCTATGGCATCCGTACAGCACTCCCAGCTTTCGGGAGGCAGCTTTAGCATGTTGTGGATGTGTGGCTTCCATGGCAAATTAGAGGAAATGGTGAGGCCTAGTATATCTATTTTAGAATTTAGCAAAATGATTGCTGACTTTGCCAACATAGCCAGAAAAAAAAATCATCTGATTAAATTTTATTTGAAATTCATCCATGCCGTATACTGTACTTGGTAGAAAACTGAACGATACGAGGTTGACAGTCATACACATGTACAGTATACTGGAATATATACAGTATATCTTAGAGGGACGATAACCAAATAATCTGCAAAAGCAACTGATATTTTTGACAGATAAAAATTGTTTTTATTTCTATTCTTACAATATAAGGAAATGTTAAGTCATATGTGATAAACCTTTTGTCCACTTCAATAAGGACCTCTCGTTTGATGGTGGTGATGGTGGTGAGAGTGGTGATGGTGGTGATGGTGGTGATGGTGGTGAGAGTGGTGATGGTGGTGAGAGTGGTGATGGTGGTGGTTCTGGTTATGCTGATGGTGACTGTTGTGGTGATAATTATGGCAGTGATGGTGATAGTAGAATTGGTTGTGATGGTAATGGTGGTTGTGGTGGTGGTGATGAAGGTGATTGTGGTCGTGTTGGCGATGGTGTTGTCGTTGTTGGTGGTGGGGGTGTCATGGTGTTGTTGTTGTTGGTGGTGGTGGTGTTAGTGGTGGTGGCGTTGGTGGTGTTAATGATGGTGGGAATATTGGTGGTGGGACTGGTGTTGGTGGGGATGTTGGGGGGTGGTGGTGGTAGTGTTTGTGGTGGTGACAGTGGTGGGGGGAATAGTGGTTGTGTAGAGGTGGTTGATAGTGGTGGTAATAGTAGTAGTGGGGGTGGTACTAATAGTGTTGGCAGCGCTGTTGGAAATAGTGTTGGTCATGGTGGTGGTAGTGATGGTTATGTTAGTTGTTGCCCGTTGTCGTGTTGGTACTAGTGGTGGAATTACAGGTCGTGGCTGTTGTTCTAGTGGTGGTGGTGGTGGTTTTAATTGTGGCAGTGGAGGTAGTTTTGATGGTGGTAGTGGTGATAGTGGTAGGGATGGTGGCTGTAGTGATGGTAGTAGTAGTAGTAGTAGTAGTAGTGATGGTAATGGTTATAGTGGTAGTGTTAGTGGTGGTAGTGGTGTGGTGTGTCAAGTTATCAGGTTCAACGTGGCATGCACTGCAGGAGAGCAACAGTTGTGTGTTTCTCACGGCAAATGGTAGAGGTGTCGCCACAGTCTAGGGTCCAAATTTACAAGAAGTTCACATGAAAAATTGTCCTTGTAACTGATGATGTAAAGGTCCAGTTCCGTAGGTCTTGTTACCCGTTAAGGACAGTGATGAATCAGCTCCCTGTACCATAAACAGGTTTTTTTTTTTCTAGTACAGCAGGTAGGAATGGGTCTGGCACTGCACTAGACCTCCTTCATTCCTCATCTGCATGTAGAGTTAGGTATCCATTCATAGTTGGTTAGATTAAGAGCGAACCAGGAACCTTTAGGGCATGAGGCGAGCGATGTGCACTTCGCCGCGACTGCTAAGGCTAGTGTAAAAATGATACTGAGACTCTACCTATACTAGATATGTTCACTTTTCACCTCATTTTTGTCCAGTGTTAAGTGAAGATATCTAGTGAAGGCAGAGTCTCTAAAGTCTTTTACGCAGTTTTAGGATACTGTTTTTATTTACAGTTAATCACCCAACCACATGTGTTCTTTCATCTGCAGTCACACGGAATATTCTTCATGTGAATTTCTGTTAACATGGGCCCTGCTGTTAGGTTCCCAATGTCTTTTATGCCTTTTATCAGAATAAGAGATAATTGTGTGTAATAATAATAATTATAATAATAATAATAATAATAATAATTGACGGTTTATTGAAAAAGTTCTGCAGCCCGAAGGCTGAAAATATACATTGGACATAAATGACTTATTACATACATTGGTGGTTTAACAAAAGCCTTCATTAGAGAAAGGTAAAGGAACATACAGTGAACATACAGATTATTGTAGGTGTTGAACTGCAAACACGTAGTGTAGTAACTCCCTCCCCGATGGCGTTAGGAGGAACTCACGTGGTGTCGTAGTTCCCTCACAGATGGTGTTATGAGGGGCCTCAAGTGGTGTAATAATTCTCTCACAGATGGTGTTATGAGGGGCCTCACGTGGTGTAGTAATTCCCTCACAGCTGGTGTTATGCCGGGCCTCACGTGGTGTAGTAATTTCCTCACAGATGGTGTTATGAGGGGCCTCACGTGGTGTAGTAATTCCCTCACAGATGGTGTTATGAGGGGCCTCACGTGGTGTAGTAATTCCCTCACAGATGGTGTTATGCGGGGCCTCACGTGGTGTAGTAATTCCCTCACAGATGGTGTTAAGCGGGGCCTCACGTGGTGTAGTAATTCCCTCACAGATGGTGTTATGAGGGGCCTCACGTGGTGTAGTAATTCCCTCACAGATAGTGTTATATGAGTGAGGTGTGGTCCCAGGCCTTCCTATCGTAGACGGATTAACACATCGCTGGTTGTTGGGTCTCACGAGTCGTTATCACTGGGTACCTGGGACCTCACTGTGTGAAGGTTAACTTGGGTACGACTGTTACTGTTGAGTTGTTCTCACTGACTTAAGCACTGTTCACCTCTGTTTAACACTGGTTCCATTCCTTTCCTAAATGAAATAGTAACTTCTGGCGAGAACTTGTTGATATTCCGGTGGGGAGGAGGGTTCAGGGGAGGGAGTTGGTATGGGCCAACTTAACAGTTGACCTGGCTGCTCTGAGAGGAGCGCCAGGTACGTCTTGACCCTTCGGTGGTGATTACGAATAGAGTTTGAAATGATTGTTTCCAATAATTTGCCTACAATTGATGTTAGACTGATTAGACGGTAGTTAGAGGATAGTGATCTATCTCCCTTCTTGAAAATAGGTATTACATTCACTATCTTCCAGGATTCTGGTACTACACCTGTTTTTAAGGACATGTTAAACAACTTTGCTAAGGGCATGCTAAGCTCTTCCTTATATTCCTTTAATACTTTGGCAAATATCTCATCGGGACCTGGTGACTTATTAGGCTTTAGTTTGTCTATTTGCTTACTAACATCGTTACTAGTCACTGCAATCTCGCTTAATTTATTTTCTTCACTATCTCTGTATAGAATCGGTGCCTCGGGTCTCATGTTTAAATTTTCGGTGGTAAAAACTGTTAAAAAATATTTATTCAGATTATTGCTCATTTCTCCATCGTTGTCAGTTCGCTCGCCGGTACCTGACTGTATTGGTCCAATCTTTTCTCGTGTTTTAGTTTGATGCATTTGATAGAATCCCTTGGGGTTTGACTTCGCCTCCCTTGCTATCTTCAGCTCATTATTCCTTTAGGCTTTTCTTATCTCGGTCTTAACCTTACCGGCCAATACCTTACAGTAATCTCGGAGGTAAACTTAACCACGATTTATTTTCCTACCTATAGCCTACCTTTGTCCAATGATGTTCTTTAAATAATTATTTATCCGTTTTGGGTCATTGTTGTTTGATCTGAGTTTTCTGTATGGTATGTTCTGCCTTTGTGCATTAAGTAACTCATTATTTAAATTGTCGTGGAACTCGGCAACCTCAGATCTCGTTATCAGGTCATCCTCAACCGTCAGGTGTCAGGGTAGGGTGAGGTCGCCCTCTGTGGGTACATTGAGTGAGGTCACATCATGTGAGGTCATGTAGTTCACCCCAAAGTGGGATACCCCCTCTCTTAGCTGCCTCTTCAAACTATCAAAGTTTGCCCTTCTGAAATCTGGGACTTGAGTGGAATTTTCCTTACGGCTGTCCTGAAATTCTAACTGGAATCTAATTTCTTTGTGATCACTGTTTGCAAGTTCGTTCCTTACCTCGACATCACTAATGAGGTTTTCTCTGTTCGACAGAACTAAATCGAGTGTATTATTACCCCGGGTGGGTTCGGTTATATGTTGACTTAGGAAACAGTCCTGGATCGTTTCAAGAAAATCCTGTGATTCTGAGTTACCCGTAAGGTCAATCCAATCTATTTGGCTAAAGTTAAAGTCGCCTACTATACAGACTTTGCTATGTATGGAAGCCCTGCGCATTTCGTCCCAAATAAGTCGCTCAATAACTCTTATCAAGATTAAGAGGTCTATATATTACTCTTGTGATGAATTTTTCCCTACTATCGATTAATTCTATCCAAATTGTTTCTGTATTCCGTTCAGTTTTGATTTCCTTATTTATTTCACTCTTCAGATTATCCCTGACATAGATTGCTACTCTGCCTCCTTTCCTAATCTGCCTGTCGGTATGGAATAATTTGTAACCTGCAATTTGGTATTCGACAGGTAACTCACGTGCGTCTAGGTTGATCCATGTTTCGGTGAATTCTATTATATCGATTTTTTTCGGT